TACAAAGGCACAAAGGAATCTTAAGTAAAACTACTCTTCTTTGCAATTGTGAGTTGAGCCGCTATAAACATCCAAGTGCAAACATCCTTATGATAAAATGATTTGTTTCCCTTCTGGGTAAATACCTAGCAATGAGATGGACAGGTAAAATGAGAGGTCTATTTTTAGTTCTTTGAGGATTCTCTATACTCTTTTCCAAAAAGGCTGTACCAGTTTGCAGTCCCACCAACAGTGCATGAGTGTCCCCTCACCAGCATCTGCAGGCTTGGGACTTTGTGATGTGGGCTGTTCTCACTGGGGTTAGGTGATCTCTTAAGGAGATTTTGATTTGCATTTCTCTGATGATTAGAGATGATGAGCAATTTTTTCATGTGTTTGCTGGCCATTTGTCTGTCTTCCTGAGAAAAGGTTGTATAGTATACCCTCATATTAATGGCAACCCCTCCCCCCAAAAAACTCCTCTTCTATTAGATTGCAAGAAGACTTCCTCCATAAACAACAGTCTTCCTGGGTTAGGAAATCATAGATCACCTTCTCTCTCTCTGGGATAAAGAAATGGGGAATGAACATGATGGACCTAGCCATGCCACACACAAGAGTCCTCAGGTTAATTCACAGTGAGAACTCCTTCTAAACACATATGCCATGTGCTTCTCCTGCTATGGAGGCCATGCCTGGGTGATCATGAGGGGACTAATCAAATTGAATGGAAGACCATTTTAAACACTGAAATTGATGATATAAAATGTATTTAAGTTTGAATGACATCTTAATTTGGGAAAGTATAGATATAGTAACCATTTGCATCCCTCCATTATAAAACATTCCTCAATCAACAAAAAAGTATTAGATGTCTCCCCTTTCCTTACAGTAACATGCCCATGTCTGTTTTTCACCTATGACTTATATAAAAGGGTGATTTTTATTTGTTTACAAATACTGTCAGTCAACTGTGACCTCATTAACAGTCCTAAAAGAATAGATCATTCAATCCCTATTTACTGACAGCCTAGTTATAAATAAACCAACGTGTAATGCAGGCATCACAGTAAAGTTTCTTTTGGATAGCAATAAGCAGGGATTTTTTTTTCCTTTTATTACATGCCCTTATGATTCCTTCTTCCTGATGTTAATAGTAAATGCTGAAATAGCCTATGTTAGTGATTGTTGGGCTGGAAAAAGAAACAAACTCTAATACAAGTATTTATACCTTCAGCAATGAAAACAAGATATTATTGTCTTGCCTGACCTTTCCTAAGTATGGGATACAGCGTTTTACACAATAGTTTCTTGGTTCATGCTTCAATTACTGACCTTTACTGTGTAGAAAATTAATGCAATTTTCATTGTAATCCATCCATACAAATAAGGTTCACACAGAAGGATTCCACATATGGAATCTAATACAAAAAGGAAATGTCAACTGATTGCTGTTGGCTGAACTTAGTCATCATCTGTTTGTTCTGGAGACCCCAGAAAACTGTACTTGTTATAAGCAGTTTCTCACAGAGGCCTTCAGGTGTTAGAGGGATTTCCTCTTTTCAAAGTTTAGCCTGGATATTTCATTTCCTAAAAGCCAAAAAGCTAGTTACTTGTAACTTCTGAACAAGTTATCGCTGAAAGTCCACAAAAGAAAAGGCAGAACAATTGTGGAATCTAATCTGGTTTCTAGTACAGGTTTCTCCCATGTACCCTGCACACTGAGAAGGAACAAGAGGCCAACAGTGATGTAATTTTACAACAATCCACGTTCCAGATGATAAAAGTATGACAGACGCTAGACTGTGTCCTGGTCTGTGTGCTGGAGACAGACTAAGCACGGAATGCATTCATCTCCCAAGGAGGCTGTGGCAACGGGTCCCAGTGTGCTTTCATCTTCCAGTCGTCTGTGAAGGTATGTGGTGGGACGGGGTGCTAGCAATTAAAGAGTGTCACTTTCAAGATGGATAGTTTAGGTAGAAAGGAGTTTTGCTCCTCTTCTGGTTTGGAACAGAGCGGCTGTGTGTTTATAATTTATAAACAATTCATCTCTCGCTGGGTGTGTAACAGTTCCCAGAAGCAGAGTCTGTCACGTCTTATACGCAACAGAAGCCAGAAGGCGGAGTGGGTAAGATCTTTATGCAGCACACGACAGTGAGCCGTCACCCTGACTGTGTGTCTGTGTCTACAAGGAACACATCTCGGGGATGGAGGCCACCACACGTGGAGAGGAAACGTCATCTTGTATATTAGGAGCACATAATGTGGATGTGCACTCAGGACGTCCTAACGTTGAAAATCCCTCCAGTTTACAAATCCCTTAGAGAAAGGAGAGGAAAGGAAACAGACAAGGGCTGAAAAGTGTGCCTGCCTCTCCTAGTAAGAGAGGGATTGTGCTAAGCAGAAATGTCATACATACGAGTCAATATTCCATTATATTCCTCTAGAACATTTCATAGAAGTATAAACTCGAGGAAGCACAACTATCATGGTTATGCAGTGTCTATCAAAAGGCCCAGTGAAATACATTAAGTAAAAAACATATTGAGAATGAACTTGCCCTGGAGGGAAGGAGGAGAGGCTTAGTGCCAACCCGGTCAACATGGGACAGGCTGACACATGGTTGTGGTCAGGGCCATGCCTGCTGGAATGCAAGAGCTCCCAGGCTCATTCCTGCAGATGCGGCCACTCCAACTCTTCTCTTGGTCATGCTTGCCCAGAAAGGCTGGAAGGACAACCCAAGTGGCTCTATCTCCAGACCAGACCCCATTATCAGTGGTAGACTAGACCTTGAAAGTCACTGGTCTAGGCTTTACAGCCTACTTTTGACATCTGCTACTTACTAAATATCACCATTTCATTCATTGTCCTATGGGTGGATTCTCTCCTTCATTAGACAGGCCAAAGATACCTGGTCACAGATACCTCTAAAGGATGGAGGACACCTTCTTCCACTGGTGATTCATTTGAACAGGTGTGGCTAAACAGAAAGACAGATGCCTTATGTTCAAAGCCTTGGTTTGTAAATATGCAGAAGACTGCCTAGTATGAGACTGTCACATAATAAGAAATATAGATTTGGACTTTGCTGTTGATTCTCATAAAATTATCGGAATTCCCTGAGTGATAGCACATGGAAACGTTTTCTATTATAATATTTGCTTATATCCCCCAGTTCTTCAAAAAGCTTCAGACTTAGAAAGACAAGCATCTTTTGCTATTCATGATGTGCTCCTGTCGACCACACCTGAGTTCATGTGAAGGAAGCAACTTTGCAAAAGCCTCTAAGGATGAGGAGCTGGTTGTTAGTGGGAACCAAACCTGTGATTAGAGCAGGGGTCCTCAAACTTTTTAAACAGGGGGCCAGTTCACTGTCCCTCAGACCGTAGGAGGGCTGGACTGCGGGCCCTGGGATGAGTCGGCTGCTAAGCAGGACAGGTAGCGGCAGCAAAAACACCTGGCAGGCCAGATAAATGTCCAAGGCGGGCTGCATATGGCCCATGGGCCGTAGTTTGAGGATACCTGGATTAGAGGGATGGAGCTTTCAATCCTCTACCGCCCACACACACCAATTACCCAGGAGGAAAGAGGGGCTGGAGAGATCATCTTAATCACCAATGCTCAGTGATTGTATCCACCGTGCCTGCCTTATGGAGCTTCCATAAAAAGAAGCTTCCTGGGGTGGTGAACACTCAGAGGTGCTGGCAGGATGGCGTCTGGAGGGGCGCAGGAGCTCCATGCTCCTTCCCTCATCCTCGCACTATGTCTCTTTCATTTGGCTATTCCTGAATTGTATCCTTTATAATAAAGCAGCAAATGTAAGTGAATATTTCACTGAGTTTCGTGATACAATCTTGAACATTATTTTACCCAGGGAGAGGGTTCTGGGAACCCCAATTTATAGTTGGTGAGTCAGACGGATAGAAGCCTTGAATTTGCATTTGTTACCTTGACTAAATAACAGATTTAAGATAACACAAGTTTAAAATAATTTTATTAATACTTGTGATTTTCTTTGGTATAACATCCCAGCACACGCTTCAGCTTGCCTGTGCCTTCGTATTCATGACTTTGTCACTCAGAAACTACTATCATCAATTCATCAAGAAGAAAGTTACCGCTATCATGAAAAGGTCAATTTCGTTTTTAAAAAATATTAAACTTTATTATTTTCCTGTTGGTAACCATCTCAGCACAACAAATAAAATATACTTTGTAACCCACACAATTTGCTTTAAACAGGCAAAACCATCTGGTCCACTCAATTAATTTTAAGGCTCTTTGTGTCACAGAGCCAGTGTTTTGAATTAATTTCTAGTCTGTGGGCATTTAGATTGGCTACTTACTCTTAAGGTTCCCCCCCCCCCCGTCTTACCCTTCCCTCTCCCCATGCCTCCTACATGCTACCATCACTAGCCCCATATACCCACAGGTATTAGGGGAGCAAAGTCCATTAAGCTAGTAGCATCTCATTTGGCACTTCACTTTTTTCATTTTATTCCAGAAGGTTTGTCTGAAAGCATAATGACAACAAAAGCAGCAGATTTGAGAGATTCTCCCAGGAGAAGAGAAAGGACAGATGTACACAGACATATAGCTGAAAACGCTGCCAACAACAGCTGGGGAAGTGACAGGCGCGGAAGTGGGTGACCACCCCACGGAGAGCAGGCGTGAACCTAAAGGAGCAGCAATTTCACTTGATGTCCTTTTGACTTCCTGGGCTCCCTTTTATCTACAAAGAGGAAGGCTAATCTTGGCCGGCATCCAATGAAAGGCCTCCTGCAGGTGTGCTTTTTATAACATTTCAATTATTCCTTCCATTTTACTCCTTTCAGCCTCATTTTAAAAAAATCTTAAGAAGGCATACCCTTTTTTAAAAATTACAATGACATTACCATACCGGTCACTCCATAATACTTAAAAAAAAAAAAAAAAAAAGAGTTATCCTTCAACCCAACCAGAAGCGGGATCTGCTGACAGCGTGAACGTTCCCTTTTCTGGTCTCTCTTGAGCGCACTCACCTTGTCATCCTCATCCTCTTCGTCATCTACGTCTGTGCTTTCCTAGAAGGAAACCCCACAGTGAGTTACTAAGACATCAACCAGAATGACCAAAGGCACGTTAAACTCACGCACATCAAGTTTTTCTGGAGAACTTAAGCATTAGTGTTTTTTAATGCATTATACCCCCTTGAAAAATAACAGTTTAAAGTTCAGGGACACCACAGTAAGACTATAAACAACATGCATATTCTAGATAACACTGTTAACTATAAATAAAGCTGTTAGACCAGTGGCCTTCCAAGGCATTCAGCTTTAAAAAGACATTGCCAAATTGTACTTTCTGTAAACAGTGCTGTTCTCATTCTGACAAATGAACCGACTACTATGTTAAGGCTGAGAATACACACTCCGTTTGTGCTAGGCTTATTGTTATGATGACTGCTCTCTCCCTTTGGAGCCATTACTGAGACATTAGACAATAGAAAATGCATTAGTCTGCACATAATCAATCTTAAGGATCAGTTAAGGATACAGTTTCTATGTGGTACTGTTATTTTGCTTGGACTTTGGGGCTGGAAGGGGCAGGTGAGGGAAGGGGAGGGAACTCAAGGCTCTGACCTGGACTTGATGGTGCCTGACTTTAGCTCAGGGGCAACAGCACCAGTCTTACTACCAATGGGTTTGTGCAGATTAGTTTAAGATCTTGGTTATGTAATAGGCAAGTTTTAATCACAGCACTGCAGTGTTTAAAAATGAACACAGGTGGAGATGCAATCGAGTGGGTTCAGTGGTTTACAAGGAGTGCTCAGTATTAGACAACCGGGTCCACTTTCAGCTTGAACACATAGGTTTCTGCTTAACCTTGCGAAGGTCAGCCATGCTGTTTAGATGCCATTGTTCCAGTAGTAAAAAGAATTATCAATATCATGCTCTTAAAAGAGAGTAACTCTGAAATCCAGAGAGTACTCTGTTATATTCTATAAAACCACTGAACACTTATCAGGAAATTTCTCCAGGGCTGGTACAGCCCTACCTCCCGCAATTCTCATGAGACTCAACTAGCAGTTTGTGTGACACTCATTGATCCTCTGGGGGAGCTAACCTATTCACTATTGGCAGCAAGCATGTCTCAGGAAAGCTAATGTATAAATGGAAGTGTAATGGAAACTGGTTATGGGAGGAAAAAACACTGTTATTAGGAATTAAAAGTTTTCAGTTTAGAACAGGATTCCAGCACTTTTTTTCACTGTGACTTTGGGCAAATCACTTTGCCACTATGAGCTGTAGTTTCATGAAGCATAAAATAAAAATAATTCTTGCCTCCTTCATAGTAGTGTCATCAAAATTAGGTGATGAATTTGAATTCTTTATTAGAAAGGTATGTATATGCATATTTATGTGTAAACAGCAAGAATATTTATGCACATTTTACATATGTACATGCTCAAATCAATGTACACGTATGCACGCACATACACACTGTCAACACATTATGTACATAGTAGGCAAAATAAAATCTGATTAAACATTATAAAAATGTGAGTTGACAGCATTTGTTATTAGAGATAGTTCTCTGTAAAAATTTACCTTATCTACACCTCTGTGCAGCCTGCTCCTTAAATGGACTGTAAAGCTATTTATTCATTACATGGTTCTATCATCTCACTGATACTCGTCTGTGCCTACTGCATTAAATAATCACAGTCCAACAGAATGGAATTCTGAAATTGCCTGAGGTTTTACCTCCTGCTACAACACTCATTTTTCCCACCTCCCAACCTAAATGAAACCAGAAACATCCCCTAGACATCTACCACTTCCAAGATGATTTCTTTTTTATAAATGATGTGGAGCTGATCTTTTAAGAAAGGGAATGATCAACTCTTAGAACTTTAGATTTTTGTTTCAAAAGCTTGGTTCTTCAATACAGAATGCCAAGATTACATCAAGAACAAGGCTGTAAATACAAGTTTCTGCACACCTAGAGCAGAAAAATCCTATGAGGTAGGATGCGGGGAGGAGGAAGAGGAGTAGATGGTAAGAGAGGTCTTTAAGAAGATGTCTGTCTGTCTTCAACGTAACAGGGAAGTTGAGAATTCTAAGACTAAATCGGGCACCTGAAAATACATGGGTTTATGTCCACCGACTTTCTGATTGCCCTGGAAGTTGTTCAGCCTCCAAGAATCTCCTGAGTTTTCCGGCCAGAGAGAACATGTTTGAAGTGGAAAGATTTGAATCATCTCCCATAGTGCTCTCTGTGCCCTGGAGAGGCTCAGACAGACACCAATGGCTTTTCTGCACTGGCTGAGAAAGTTATTCACAGAAACCTTACAAAGAACCAGGTAGGCACATACACATGTGCTTCCAGAATGGAAATGAAAACAAAGACCCCGAGGGGCCCCTTCTGTGAACACTATTGGCCGGGACTAAGCAAGAACTGATAAAAGCCCTCCCATGCAAAGTATGTGGCAGGCAGGGCTGCACCTCATATCTCAAACACCACGGACCTGGGCCACGATTCGGTGGTCCTGGTTTATTGTTGATACATTTTTTCTCAGGTCAAATGTCAGAACTCTTTGGATCTCGGCTTACCTGGTTGTCCTGCACGCAGCTGACCTTGCCTCTGGTGGGTCTGATGAAATTGTAGATAAAGAGCAGTAATAATGCCAAGGGGATCATGTATAGCTCAAAATTCCAGACGGTGACCAGAAATACCTGATTTGAAGACACATAAGACCATGTGACTGCTTGATAAAACAAGAGGGGAACAATTTTAAGGAGATTAAACTTGGGACTCTCTCTAGAGTAGCTCTTATAGTTTCAGACACACAATGAGGAAGATATGGAATGACTCAGCCGGTCACAATCCACAGTAGACAGATACAGCAGCTTCCTATCTTGAAAGGCCATTGCTCCGTTAACTTTATTACTTTTTATTTTTGCACTTCTGGATTTTAATGTATTCGAATTTAGGGCGAGCAGCATGGAAAAATCCATGGTCACAAAGAGGCAGGCCACAGGACAAACCGTGCCAACAGTCAGACTCCTAAAAATCTTAAAGTCTACCAATGTTGAGGTTGTATAGCCAAAGGAAAATGATCAGCTAACAACGTCTACATCAGAAAGGAATACATCTACCTGGCCAGTTTCTATCAACCTCTGAAATCTGTGACTCCCCTCACAGAAGGGCCCAGTGAGTTGGAGGTTTGCCTTCAAGCACCTACATAATGATGGCTGGTAGAAATGTGAATGCAAATAAGACGTGGCTGTACCTCCAAAGAACACCTGATAATCACAACAGAAGGCAGGAGTGAAACCTTGAGCAAGTTAACTTCCTAACTTGAGCCTCATTTTATTTTAAAATTCATAGGTAGCCGGCAGAGTGGCTCACACCTGTAATCCCAGCACTCTAGGAGGCCGAGATAGGTGGATTGCTTGAGCTCAGGAATTCAAGACCAGTCTGAGCAAAAGCCAGGCCCTGTCTCTAAAAATAGCTGGGCAGTGGGCACCTATAGTCCCAGCAACTCAGGAGGCAGAGGCAAAAGAATCACTTTGAGCCTAAGAGTTTGAGGTTGCTGTGAGCTATGACACTACAGCACTCTATGAAGGGCGACCAAGTGAGACTCTCTTAAATAAATAAATAAATTCCACAGATAGTTTATAACAGGGGTTCTCAACCTTCCTAATGCCGTGATGTATTTTTATGGTTACAAAGGGGTCGCGATCCACAGGTTGAAAACCACTGGTTTAGAAGATGAAATAAGATAATCTGTGGTTATTAGTTGTCGACTTGTGTTTGAAAAAGTCACTGCTATATCCATTTAGAAGAAGCAAATTATTCCATTTTAAGTAGAAGTAAAACTTTCTTTCCAAAAAGCAATGTTGCTTTATTGTCAAAAACTTTTTCTAATATTAAAAAATGTTTGGTACCTATCATATATTTCTTTGGTTTTAGTTCCTATTGTAAATGACATCATTTCTTCCATTATAGTTTTCAAACTCATTATTCTTTGCAAACAAAAACAATTTGTATATGTTAGTTTCTTAAAGTAGTAACCTCACTGAATTTTCTTTACTGTATCAAACAGCTTTTTATTGCATTTTTCTAGGGTTTCTAAGAAAATAATTACATAATCTACAAATAAGGAATCTCCTCTGTTTCTTCTTTTCTATTATTTGTAACTTTTGTTTTTCCTGTTTAAATTCATTGCTCTCATAAAACAACGTTAAATAAATCTGTTGAGGGAGACATTATTGTCTAATTCCGGGCTTTAGTGAAAATTAAACCCACATAAGCATGACGTGGGTTTACAGTTTGAGAATTAAGAATACATACACATATTTTTTGATACTAGAAAATTTACATATAAGTGATCATTTGGATATTCTGTATATATTTTAAGTAGTTCATAAATACTCTTTTGCATCTGCTCCAAACTTAATGAAAATACTTTTTAAACAAGAATACATCCATCAATCCCAACAAGGGTCTAATTTTTCTTCTTTTTAAGATCAGGAATGGATGGTAGCTGATCATCTGTTCTTACAGAATCTTCTGAAATATTAAAGAAGTTTTCTTTCCTTGCCGTTTAAAAACATTAGTATGAAGTATTGCATTTATAGTTTTATAACCTCAAAGCAACTCTGTATTTCTGGGAGAAACTCCTTTTCACAGATGTCTACCAGTGTTTTAATGTACTGTTGTATTTTATTTGCTAATCCTTAAAGATGTTTTACATAGATGCCTGTAGATTACATTTATTGCTCGCTTTTTGTCTTCTGGATAAGTTTAGGTGTTAGGATGATACTGACACCACATAACATTATAGTTCATTCTTTCTCTATACCCCAGATAATATTTTTACATTACCAAATAGTCCAAGAACACAAAAAATACATAGACTCACTTTACAAATACCTATTCGCCCCCCAAGTATTAAGAGTTGTTAATGTGCTTGCTGTCATCTTTTTTCTGATTATTATTCATATTTTTTAAAATAAAACATTTTCAGACACTTGGTCCCCACAGTCAACCCTCCTCAGTCCTATTCCTCTCATTCGTAAAGGCAACCTTGTCCTAAATTTGATGTGAAATTTGTCACCTGAGGACACATTAGGCTTATATTAGAAATAATATAAAAACATAGAAATGTTCACATCATTCTGCAAATATTTTAACCAACAGTACGTTTTACTGTTCCATTGGTGCTGTATGCACAAACTAAGTACATTCATTCTAACTAATATAGTTTCCATTCAAATCAACATTGTACGATTTGTCCATTATACTCTTATCAATGAAAAGTTAGGTGGAAACAGGCTTTATTATTTATGTAGTCAGACATATTATTCCTTAATATTAGAATTCATATCTTTAATGTTCAACGTTCCACATAAGGAATTATGTCCTACCCTGAGATGATAAAGCTATTTCGTGTTTTCTTCTAAAAGATTATTTGGTATATGTGTATTTGCATAATCTATATTATTTCTCAATGTTTTAATTAGGAAAAAAAACCCTTCCAATTTGAACGTTTTCTGTACAGATAGTAATCTTTTACAACTAAGTTCCTATGACAATCTATACTTTTCTCACTCATCTCCATTGCCACTTTCATCATATACCAAGTTCCTACATGAGTATTTCTGCTATTTCTGGGCACTCTAAATTCTTCCACTCATACAGATAATGTTAGATAACATCTGAGTGAACAAATCTCAGATCGTACACTCTGAAAATTATCTTAGATACTTTTTTACTCTTTACTCCTCCACATGTATTTTAGTTTTTTTACAATTTACAAAGCTCTAGACACCTCTTGGTAAAATTTGGCTTGAACTTGTCCTGAATTTACATGTCACTGTGGAGATAAGTGACCTCTTGATATTAGTGCTTCTAATTTGTAAAGATTGTTGATTTTTCTATATATTCAGGACTTTTAAACATTTTCTTATAATATTATAACATTAAAATATTTTCTCACAATGTTTTATTACTTTTCACCAAACTTACTTTCAGGTTTTATTATTTTCCTAAGTAACTCAGAGTTATGATACTCTTATAAAAGTAACAGAACCATTTTAAAATTTATACATTTTAATTGATTATTGCAGGGTACAGGAACAACGGCTTTTACATGTTGTTCATATTCTTTCCAAACCCTCTTACTGGTTATAGGAGATTGCAGATATATCCTTCTGGAGATAGTCTGTAGAACATTATAAAAACTATAAATCATGACAATATTCCTTTTCCTTTGCCCTGAAATCTATACGTTATTTATATCTTCTCTTAATGCTAAACCTCTTTACATTCCTTCAGTATGTTAAGTGCTTTTTGGTAATCCTTTTTGGGTTAGTGAAGACTGTTATGTTGATTTCCTCCAGTGTATTAATCTGGCTTGCTTCATCAACTTTCTTTTATCTTACAATATATACATATTTTGTTTCCGATAATTTTTACATTTTCAAAGATATCCCTAATATTTGTTTTATACAATAAAACGGCAAACAGTAGAACAGTAAAGGAATTTCTTTACTAGAGAAAACTACATTGCTACCAATTTCCCTTCCCCTGTTCTTAAGTTTCTTTGGCAATTACAGGTTTTAACTGTGTACAAAATGGTGGTTGTTTCTAAATACCTAGTTACTAGTTAAATGGGATTTTATTCTTTTAAATTGCTAAATTTAACTTCAAATAAGCCGCTGACATAAAGCTCATGAGAATTTTCTTCAATACAAAGCTATGTGTATCTTTGATAAAATTATTTGAGCAGCAACTCTTTGAAAGGGCTTGGTGTAAAGAAAAGCAGAGACATAGGGTGGTAACTGGAAGGGACTAGAGCGATGATCCAGGACAGAGTGAGAGGGAAAATGATGATGTAGGTCACAGAAGAAAGAATAGTTGGAGCCCCCTGAATCAGTGGAAGAGTGGGATCCAGTGGAGGCCTTGTCTTAGCAATAACTCAGTTCATCTGAAGGGAATAATTCAGTTACAGAAGGAACGCAGAAGATACAGGTGTTGGTAGGGGCCCAGACATAGATGGGGTGGCACCGAAGTGGAGGGGTCCTTACATCAATCATGGTCGTTAGAGAAAAGTGAGGATGGGCAAAAGGTATTAGAAGTGCCTTCTAAAGATAAATTCCTAATCACCCTATGAACTGAACAGACCCTTCTCTGCCAAGGGGACCCCAAAGTGACCTTAAAACTGCGTGCCCAGCTATGACTGGATGCAAGGTCAGACATGCATCGTTTCACCCCTCCCTCACTGAAGAACACCAGGCTTTATTTCCTAAGGGCCAGATCAGCATTCTTTCCTGATGAACGACCCCTGACCACCCATAAAGTGGTTTTAACCATCTACAGAACGTGTGCAGAGAGCTTTTTCCACGTCCTTCATTTTTGTGACATAGACAGTCGCTGTTTTTAAACACTGACCCCATGAAAGGACCAAGGCCTGAAGGCACATGTTTCACCCCATGTATCCCATCCTGCCAGAACGGCCGGTATGGACTGTGCACCCTTTACAAGAAATAAAGCAAGCTCTCAGTTTCCAAATTATAAACCATTAAATACTTTTTTAAGTTAACAAAATTTTAAGGGCAGAAAAGAAGTTATGCAATAGTCTAGGAGAATGGAAGGAGATTACAGAAATGTAATAGAACTGTCCAGAGGCACTGAGTATGTTTCTTAGAGCCCTGCTCACCTGAGGTCT